AGGAACCTGCAGAAACCCTAGAATTATGCTTTGTTTTTATTTATCAAACTAAGCATGAATTAAACATTGTTATTATTTCAAGATATGTATTATTAACTGTAGTTTACTTATTATATTAAATATTATTATGATTATTAATAACAGTTGTCATTATTATTCTTATTGTTATTATTACTATTATTATTTATGTTATTTCAGCTACAGTAACTGCTGTGGTAACATTTCTAATTTATATATTTCATACTTTTTTGTGTTTTATTTTGTTGAATTCCAGTTTTATTTTAATTGGGGAAAAAAATTATATATTTTATTTAATTTCACTTTGAGGGAATAAGAGGAGTGAAAATAACTTAAAATAAGAACTAGCAATACAAATTATGAATATATATATATATATATATATATATATATATATATATATATATATATATATATATATATATATATATATATATATATATATATATATATATATATATATATACAAGAGTTTAAAAGAATTTATATCACAAAATACTTTGTATTTAGTCAGGGAACAAAACTGCACATGCTTAAAGAACTTTAAAGTAAACTTATCAGTTTTTAAGTTACATTTAAAGAGATAGAACCATTTAAATTTGATGATAATAAAAAAAAAAATTTTGGATGTTCACAAGGTTTTAATAATATTGTGTTGTTTCTCCTAAATAGTTTTAAGCATGTCTTAATTTTCCTATACCCTAGTAAAGCTACCCTATAGGACCTCTTTTATTGCAAAGAGATACAATCCAAAATATTTTTACAGCAAATTCTCCAAATTAAATTCCCTAATTAAGGAAAGTAAACTAAAGCAACGCATCCCTTTACATGATTTTCTGTTAATACAAAAACTATATCACATACATCACAAAATACTTTGTATTTAGTCAGGGAACAAAACTGCTAATGCTTGAAGACCCTTAAAGTAAACTTTTTCAGTTTTAAGTTACATTTTAAGAGATAAAAACATTTATATCTGATGGAAAAAAATCTTATAAATGGCATAAGTGTTTCAAATTCTTATGACCCCAACATATAAAAGCACATTTCTAGGTGACATTTCTGTCATGATCTGCTTTATATTGCATTTTTACATCTGTTCTAAAACATGCATCTATTACTCAGGTGGGCCTGTATAAATTGCTCTTTGATGGACTGGTCAGAGGGGAGATGAAAAAAAATCACATTTTCGATCACCTCAAACTGCGTTCTGCTCAAATTCTCGGTGCAGGCGTCCAGGCTCATGCTAAAAACCTTGGGGTTCATGCCAGAACATTTGAGGAGCTGGTTGAAACTTTGCTTATAACAGTGTCATGCTCTGATCTTCCATGTATTGACCTGCTTCAGATTGAATACTTTCATCAAGGCTCTAATGGGCCCATTGGGACAAGAGTGGCTCCTTTTGATGAAGCCCAAATACGGGGAGAGCTTCAGGCTTATTTGTCCTACTGGACGGGACAGAGAGAACCTAAAGGGGTGGATATAGAGGAGGCCTGGAAATGCAGATCATGCCTGTATGAGGAGATCTGCGAATGGAGGAAGAACAGATTTACAGTTTCTGACCAACAAGCGGCTCATTCTAGCTCACACTTATGATTTTACAGATCATATTTATATATTTGAATGTGCAGTGTTAATTATGCTTTTGACTTTTATACCTTGATTAATGTTTTCTTGTTCTATTGAAGCATTTCTGTTTTTAAATCAGGATGTGAACATTATTGTGCAGCTCTATAATAACTGTGATTGAAGTGCTTTGACTGAATAATGCACTATTAAAGCCATGATGCATTTTTTTTTTTGTTTAGTATGGTATGGTTTAGTATGTTTTATGGAAGCAGGCTTCTCTTGTTGTGTGCATTAAAAGTTTTAGGCCACTTAGCTAGTAGAATGGATATGTGTTTTCAGTCTACGATCATTTTATTCAGGGTTGCTTGATGCAATGCAGAGAAATGCACAATTTGTTTTTTTAAAGTGACCAAATGAGTGTATACAGACATATAAAAAAGTTTTTTTTTGAACATTTTTAGATGTTTATTTTTTTATTAATAATATACCACAGAAATAGATGGTTGTGTATGAAAATCCATGTAGATCAGCAGTTTTTAAATCACTCAAACTATTTCCTAATTGTGTATTTGTTTAGTTCTTTCTTTTTTTTGTTTCCACTTCAGTATTATGTAAAAAATTATGATCATCAATTATTAATGGCTAAACCATTAAAAATCTGTCACCCTAGATGAGTTATGCTGTGTTTTATTATTTAACCTTTGTGCTTCAGTTAAAAAACAAATTACACAAAATGTCAGTGTCAAAAAAATAAAAGTAACATTCATTTTTTTTATTTTGCTCTTTAATGGTGCTAAAGAGGAAATACGGGTTTTAATGGGTTTCAGTGGGGACATTTTTGCCTTCAAGTTCATGAATCCAACTATTTTTGCACCTGTTGAAAATAAATTTATGAAATGGAATCAGATAATAAACTTTAAATATGAATGCTTTTTTGTGTTATGTTATGCTTTTAGCTTTAATACAGCCTCAATAATCACAAAGAATTTAATGAAAAAGACAAATAAATGTCTATAAGGATGCACCAGGATTTATTACAATGTTTGTTGTGCTTATCAAAATATCTTAAAAATATCTGCTATTAATTTACGACGGAATATATGCCGATAGATGGTGCTGTTTTACCACTTGAATCTTTAAATTTATGTCCATACACGTATTTAAAGGAATAGTCAACCAACATAGTGACTCCTCTTCAAGTGGTTTAATTTTCTTTCTCTCTTGTTTCTTTGATTTGTTAAACACAAAAGAAAATGTTTTAAAATCCAGTGACTATAGACTTCCATTGTGGGAAATCGGCTATATGTAGTCACAAACACCAATTTCAAAAGAAAAATGTGTCTTTAGAGCACTAACAACGTTTATCACCGCTGGGCGCCATGATGCATCTAGAATTGAATGGGCGAGGGAGAAAGGAGGGGGGCGGGTCAAATTAACGTGAACATATTTTATAAGTAGTAGTTATATTGTTTAATACAGATCAGATCAAACGATTTTAACACTGTATAAAGGGAAGACTCTCGCCCCACCAAACACACATCTTGTATTGACATCCTTCAGGGAAATCAAGCATTAAACACCACACCCGCTCCCAACATAATTGCAATTATCAATAAATAATTAATGATTGTGAGTGATTCCAGGTCGAAAATTGGCGAACGACATATTGTAAAATGTAATAAGAAACTTTCTAATAAAGAATTGTGTTAAAACACAGCTAAGATTTACATTTTCTGTAAAAAAAAAAAAACAACAACACCTGTTTTCTTTTGAATGGCGCTGCCTTGCGCTGCTGTATGCAAATGAGCCATGACGTCAAACATTCCATCGTAGTTCTTATAATGATGTAGACGGCATACCGGCTCATTTTCTTGCAACATCTCGAGCGAGTTGTACCGAATCACTATAGATCTGCGTTTTACGTCTGATTTATGGAGTTTTCAGTTGATCGTGATATAACAAATATTCAGTTCGCCGCTGATAACAATTCTCTCGAGTTTGGAAAGAAACATAGAACAATGGGACGAGTTAGAAAGAGAGTAAAACAGTTCTGTAACTGGGCCTCTCGGAAATCTGGGAAAGTCCAGCAGAACCAGTGCACATCCGAGGGCGACCTCGAGCACCGGAGATGTTCTGATGACGAAGCCGGACCGAGCAACGCTACGTTCATCTCCCACATTCACACTGGAGCTGGTGTTTCACCAAGCCCAGCACCACAGACAAGAGAGAAGAAACTTAAGAGGCTCTGGAAATGGTTTTCTCGGAAATTCAAGAGAACTAGAACCAGAGCCCCACAGGGCCAGCTGAGCAGCCCACAGCCTCAGAGATCCCCTGACGGTGAAGCTGCGTGTGTGTCGCCGAGGACAGTTCATGACGAGCGGGTTAACAGGCGCGTGTCTATCCAGACCCCTGTGAAGACCCCGTCAACAGAAACTGAACGGCACGACGACACTGAATGCTGGGACTTTTCTGTATCTTCTCTTAGCACTGCGGGAAACAGCGAATCCGACCGCGCTTCAGTGCACAGCTGGCACTCGTGTGCGTCTTCGCTTGGCACGCCGGTTATCAGTGAATCTGACCGCGCATCAGTGTTAAGTTGGCACTCTTGTGCGTCTTCGCTTGGTACCGCGGGGATCAGCGAATCTGACCGCGCTTCAGTGCACAGTAGGCACCCTTGTGAGTCTTCGCTGACCGCTGAACACCACAACGATGAGGAAAACGCTTCCAGTGAGGACTCCAGCGTGTCCGAGGACAGCACATCTTCCTCATCGGATTTTTGGAAAACAGAACAGGAAACCACATTTAACTGGGAAGGAAATACAGGTCAGTTTATCAGGTGTTTTTATCCTGAAGTACTTCACTGGAAGTTATATAACAATCCCAAACAAAATATTGAGCTTTTTACTCCACTGCATATGATAATGATAGTTACTTAAGTTCTGAGTGAACATATTATAAAAATATCATATTACAGAATATGTTATTATGAATAGCTCTATACTATAACTTAACTGTATTCATGAAAAAAAAATGTTCCTTAAAGAAAATATTTCTGAAGTGTTTTTGAGAATTGCACTAAAAGCATTTTGAATCGTAATCATTGTTTAGCTGATCAAGATTTTTTTTGTGAATCTGACCCAGTTTATATATCAGCAAGGACTGATGTTAAGTGTTTGAGATTATTTAAACCACTGAACATCTGCTATCCATACAGCAGAAAGTTCCTATATAGTTATGTGTCAGGACGTAATAATATATGAGCAGATTTTTAAACATGCCTAAGCCGTAATATACTATAATATAGATATCAGAGAACAACTGATCTGATTGAATCAGTCCATTATAAGGCACCTTCAATAATAATAGTTTGTTAAAATAGAGCTATTCTAAAGCAATCTTCTAAAGCAAAGATTTTGATGGTTTATGCTATAAATGTACTTCATTGTTTGTTTCTTTGTTTTATTTACAGGTAGAATCTCCCAGGACTATAAAATCCATCACTTGATTGGTCAGGGATCAACAGGAGTCATCTATGATGGAATTCGTCTGTCGGATTGCCGAATGGTTTGTTTCAGACATAACAAAAAGATTTTGGGCTTTTCCCTTGAAATGTAAATTTGACGAATGCCGCATGACTGGATCGTTTGTATTAACGTTTGCTTTCTCTTGGTCAACAGGTGGATATCAAATGCGTGAAGAAGAGCAAATCAATGGAAAGGATCACGATTGTAAGTACACACTCGCAACATTGTTAAAAATAGTCTCCAGTTCAGTTCAATCACATCTCACTAATACGTCTATTATCTCTCCTGCAGGAACCATCTGACAAGACTGTTCCACGAGAGGTCGGTTTGATGATTATGATGAGCAGAGGTCCGAAGGTTCCTCAAGTAATACAGCTGCTGGACTGGTATGAGGCACCAGACCGATACATACTGGTGCTGGAGCATCCCAAATCAGCTGTGAGCCTGGACCAGTTTGTATCCTCTTGTGGGAACAAAATCAGCGAAGCGAAAGCACGAGTGGTGATGCACCAGGTGATCACTGCTGCCAACGCATGCTGCGAAAGGGGAGTCTACAATAACATCAAGCTGGAGAGCCTGCTCATCAACCCCCACACCTTGCAGGTCAAACTGATGGACTTTGGCACGGGAAGCCTCATTAAGGACTCTGGCTATACAAAATTTTGGGGTATGTATGATAATGGCCACAATTTATGTGAAGTTATTTTGTTGATATGGATATTTAGCGAAAAAGCTAACTGCATTGGGACTAAATCTTTCTCTTTCTTCCAGGCTCAATAGCTTGTATTCCCCCGGAGTTCTATCAGAAGGGAAGGTTCCACGCCAAACCTGCAATCGTGTACTCTTTAGGCAAACTGTTGTTCAGGATGCTGTGTGGACACTACCCTCATATGGAGCTCCACAAGATTGTCAAAAGAACCTGGCAGCCTGAAGACCTATCCAAAGGTGAGAGCATGTGGATGATGAAACAGGATCTTAAAACATGTGATCATTTACACCAACCGTAAAGTTTTCTAATAACCTGACATCTCCCCCTTCTTTCTTCACAGAAGCCGTAGATCTGATCTGCTCGTGTCTGCAGACTAAGCCAGACAAGCGGCCTCTACTTGACGAGATCCTTCACCAGAGATGGTTCCAGGTCTTCATCCTGAAGCCAAACAACAGACGAAAAGATTAAGATCAGAACATCCAGCCTCTTCATCCAGCCTCTTCATTCAGCCGTCAACACCAAACTTCTCCTCTTCATCGATCCACTAACACCGAACTCCTCCTCTTCATCCAGCCACTAACACTAAGCTCCTCTTTTATATTCAGCCAGAAACTCCGTCAAGCCACAAACATGGGGCAGTTTGTGGCTTTACGAAGAGAAAAAGCTGAATGGGGCTGGTGTTTGTGGTTGCGTGGAAAGGAGGAGCTGTTTGGGGCCGGTGTTTGTGGTTGATAAAGAGGAGGAGCTGAAGGGGGCCGGCGTTTGTATCTGGATGAAGAGAAGATTTTTGGTTTATTTTTGGAGATTGTAAATAAATGCTTGTTCTGTATGTAATGAATAAAAATGAATACTTTTCACATATAAAGTGTTTTCATTTCCTTCAATATTAACTTAATGCACTCCTATAGTTAAATTGTTGAACTGTCCTGTCTTCACCTAGCAGTTGAAGTTGCCAAACAATGGCGTTATATTGTTTCAGGTTTTACAAAATGGCAGTGATGCCTGTATACTTCACAACTTATTCCATTCATTTAGACTTTTAGAGCGCTTTTTACAATGTAGATTGTGTTAAACAGCTTTACATAGTTCTAGCAAAATAAACTGAACTTCAACTGTGACAACTGGACTGAAGCGGTTTTGTTCAGTGTAATGTGAAATTACTACTAATTTGAGGCGTCACCCTATTCAAGGAAAATAGTTTTTAATTAATTTACTTATTTTGCTAACAAAATTTCACATTCATAAATGTAAATTTACTAATAACCAAATTTTAAGGTGTTGATGGCTGAATTATGCTTATATATTAGCAGTGTCAGAGACTCTCTAAATAAGAAAGCCCTATACACTTTAAAACTTTATGAATTCTACAATGTATTTAATTATTACATATAAATATTCTGTATTTGTATTTGATTTATACTTACCCTCTGGCATGTATATTTTTGTGCAGTTAAAATTTCCTCCACAGTCCAAAGACATGTGCTATAGGTGAACTGAATAAACTAAATTGTCAATAGTGTGTGTAAATGTTAGTGTGTATGGGTGTTTCCCAGTACTTAGTTGCAGCTTTAAGGGCATCCGCTTTGCAAAACATATGCTGGATAAGTTGGCGGTTCATTCCGCTGTAGCGACCCTGATGAATAAAGGGACTAAGCCAAGAGAAGGACAATGAATGAGTGAATGACTACGAACCTACTGTACACATGTTTCATGTTTGGGCAATGGATGAACAGACACTGTCACGTGTTATTAATGTACTTTACCTAAATTATTTGAACGAATATGAGGTCCACATATCAATTTTTTGAATTTCGAAATGATAGCTTCTGAGTCGTAATTGTCCCTCGGTTGTGTCCTTAGAAAGTCTTCCTGCTTGCTGTTGTGACATCATGGTCGAGCAGGTTTGAACCGTTGTATGAAACTCATGCTGTGGAAATTGTACACATTCAAAGCGAACATTTCTGCTGTCTGAAGCGATAAAAGCCAGAGGCAGCCTGACGTTCTTCGACGTCAGCATCGAAGGGGTAAGTAGGTTTAAATGCCACTGGTTTATTGATTAGCTCATCTGCTTACGTTAATTGACATACTGCATGCTTGCTCATGGTCTAAAGCAGGGGTCTCAAACTCAATTTACCTGGGGACCGCAGTAGGCAAAGTCTGGGTGAGGCTGGGCCGCATAAGGGATTTCACAAAAAAAAAAGTCCTCAAATGTCATTATTAACAGTTTTAATTATTTCTTCTGAACATGAAGTGTCCTGAACATTAATAGAACATTGAGTGAAGATTATGAACAGTTCTTCTGAACATGGAATCTTTTGCCTACTCCTTGCTGCCAGAGACTTGACAGCGCTTCTTCTCACAAATCTGAACCACATTTGGCTTTAGAGCGGAAGCAGTTGAGACCCTCAGTATGGCTTGAAGATGATCATAATTAAGTCTAGACCTGTACTTTGACTTATTGAAGTTCAAGGTGGAGAATAACTTCTCACACACTCAAAACTCCCATTCCCTCACTTAAAAAAAGGCGTATATATGTATAAATAAAACACCCCCACCCCACTCCAGTCACATCAGTCTGTACCAGTCTGTATCTACCTATAATATATATAAGATGCAGGCTGTAGCTAGGTAGGTGGCAGGCTGCAGATAGGTAGCTAAGTGGCAGGCAGGGGCGGGAACAGCTTACCTTGGTTCTGGCCGGGGCGAGTTCCCTCCTAACACTTCCCGCCCGTCACAGCGTCTAACAAAGGGGCGGGGTGCGTGGTGACGCAACCGGCATCCCCGCCCCTTTGTTTACACGGCGGGCGGGGAATGCCAGTGACCGCTGTGTACGGATAGAATCAGCGGAGCGGGGAGCGCTCTCTCTCCCCGCTCCGCTGATTCTGTCAGGCCCTGTTTACACTAGTGCGTTTTAGTTTTAAAACGGCGTTTTAGAATGAAAACAATCCGCGTCCACACTCGCGTTTTACCCAGCGTTTCTGAACTGCTCTCCGTCCACACCAAAACGCTGAAAACGCACATCACGTGACCACACAAACACACTTTGGCAAGCGCTGCAGCCTGTCTACCCAGATGAGAGCTCTGCTAGTCGGACTTCTTATCAAGTATCTCCCGCTGGATCTATTCTCACTATATTTATTAAACGTGATATTTCGTTCATCTTGTTGTCTTTATCTAACGACACATTCCCTGACTTTGGTCATTGGAATCTATTACTTGTTCTCAGGTAACGTGCTTTGGCTGAGCACAAAGATAAGTTAATGATTAATGTAACCACGTAGCCTATTCTGTATATTGACTGAACGCTAGCCTTTATTTCCTATAATGTATAAACTTATTGTATGTTATACTTTTATAATGGCCATTATAGATTATTAAAATTGATATTCAGCAAAAGAGCGGGTATGTTTCGTATTTTCACTGAAATTGAAAGGAGGCAGTTGTTATCGGCTCCGTTTTGTTATAAATATCCACACAGTGAAGATGACGCTCATATATGCAGCACGACGCCTCAACATTTCTGCTGCCTGTTTAGTTGTTAATATTAAAATAAAAATAGGCAGTTCCTTATATCAAGTTTACATTTTATTGTTGAGAAAGTGAAACAGTGTAGCCAGAGTGATGTGAATGAAGTTATAAAGTTCACTGTTCCCTGTGGAGATTTACGCGTGTCCTCGGTATGTTTTCCATATCAAACTGAGAAGAAGAGATGCAGCCTTGATCAAACCTGCGAAGTCTGAACTTACACGGAGAAGATTCAGTACTGAACTGTGTGTTAGGCTACTTAATATTGAGGAAAAGCCCCAATCAGAGAGGCGAATGTCTGCAGCCCCGCCTCCGTTTTCAGATGTCTCCGTCTTTCCCCATCCACACTGAGACGGAGCAGCAGCGTTTCAGAATGAAAACGGCCTCTCCAGCGTTTTCGAAACGATCCGTTTTCAGCGCTCGAGAACTCCGGCGTAGTGTGGACGGATTCTGTCAGTGTACTGCGGTCGGCGCGGGCCACAAAATATTGCACTGAGGGCCGCAAATGGCCCGCGGGCCGCGAGTTTGAGACCCCTGGTCTAAAGAAACGGAAAGTCTTTATTTTCTTCAAATAAGTCTTTTTTTTTTATAAGATATTTAAATATTTAAAAATATTTCTTCTTGAGAGGTCCAATATATTTAGAGTTCAATTCACCTTTATTTGTATAGCGCTTTTACAATGTAGATTGTGTCAAAGCAGCTTCACAAAAAAGGTCATAGTAAATTGGACCAGTGTAGTTCAGTTTTTAGTGTTTAAGTTCAGTTCAGTTTAGCTCAGTTCAGTGTGGTTTAATGTTAACTACTGAGAGTCAAAACACTAAAGAGCAAATTCATCGATGCGCAGCTCTACCGATCCCAAACCATGCAAGCTAGAGGTGACAGCAGAGAGGGAAAAAAACTTCACCGATAGGAGAGTGAAGAAAAAAAACCTTGAGAGAAACCAGACTCAGTTGGGCAAGACCATTTTAATTTCTCTGCTGGCCAAACGTCTTGTGCAGGGCTGCAGTCTCAGCAGCGGAGGCTGGAAGCTGGCCTTGGCGAAGACTCGTCTGTCCCTGGAGCGTCACAGGAATCAGTCTCATGCTCTCCACTCCTCCATGACCACCACAGCAGCTGCTCAGGATACAGCCTGATCTAGGATATGGAAGCCTTGGGATCATCTCGTCGCTGGTCTTGGATCAAATCAGTGGAGCTGCATTGTCTGAGGGCCTCGGGATGAGTATACCTAGGTAAAAATGGAGAATAAAGAGAATAAATAGCGTAGCTGCTGTTCATAGTGTATATAAACAGGATGCAGAAACCTGTGTGGGAACCCGCTAAGTGATGCGCTGAGTGTATGCTTTACTAAACAGACAGGTCTTTAATCTAGTTTTGAACTGCGAGAGTGTGTCTGAGCCTCGAACGTTATCAGGAAGGCTATTCTAGAGTTTAGGAGCCATAAATGAGAAGGCTCGACCTCCTTTACTCGACTTAGCCATTCAATGTACTACCAGAAGCCCTGAGTTTTGAGATATTAAAGAGCGGGCTGGATTGTACTGATGTTGGTTAGATAAACAGGAGCTAGATTATTTAAAGCTATTATTTAAAGGTGAGGAGTAATATTTTAAATTCAATACGAAACTCAAGAGGCAGCCAGTGTAAGGAGGATAAAATTGGGGTGATGTGATATTTTCTACACCTGGTAAGAACTCTGGCAGCTGGATGAGATGGATAGCATACTTCGTAACTTAGCGAAATTTCTCAGATGAAAGAAATTAGTTTTTGTGACGTGGAATATATGATTTTCAAAAGTTAAATTGCTGTCTAATGTGACACCCAGATCTTTTATAGTAGCGCTGACGCTAACTTTATATCCCTCTAATTGTAGATTGAGTTGCGAGATCTTTTGTGTACAGGATTTTGGCCCAATAAGTAATAATTCTGTTTTGTCGGAGTTTAAGAGAAGAAAATTGTTGGTCATCCAGTCTTTAACATCTCTAATACACTCAGTTAGCTTAGACAGTTCAGACATCTCATCAGGTTTAGTTGAAATATATAATTGACTATCATCTGCATAGCAGTGAAAGCTGATCCCATGTCTTCTAATAATGTCTCCCAGTGGTAGCATGTAAATTGTAAACAGCAAAGGGCCTAAAACTAATCCTTGAGGCACCCCATACTTTACTGGGCTGACTTGTGAAGGTTGTCCAATAATATTAATAATATTAATTAATATTGTGGTCAATGGTGTCAAATGCCGCACTAAGATTGAGTAGAACTAACAGCGAGATGCACCCTTGTTCAGCAGCTAGTAGATCATTGGTTATTTTTACTAATGCGGTTTCTGTACTGTGATGAGCTCTGAAACCTGATTGAAACACCTCAAAAACATTGTTTGTCTGCAGAAAGGAGCATAATTGGGTAGAAACAATTTTTTATAGTATTTTAGACACAAATGGAAGATTTGAAATAGGCCTATAGTTAGCTAAGTTGCTGGGGTCCAGTTGCGGTTTCTTAATAATAGGCTTAATAACAGCTAGCTTGTAAGAGTTTGGAACATGGCCTAAAGATAAAGAAGAGTTGATAATGTTAAGAAGAGGTTCTCCTATAGCAGGTAGCAGCTCTTTCAGTAATTTTGTTGGAATTGAGTCCAGCATACAC